TAATAATAAAATAATATAGTGCCCCGACTTTCGCTTAGTCAGGTGCAGCTGTACCCGTGTTGATGTAGCCGACAGAAGCTCCAGACAGTTCAGGGCAAAAAGAGAGCTGTGCAGTAGGATATTTGAAATGCTTGTCTGTTTTCAGCAGCCTGCGTTAGACCAGTAATCTTCTAAATCATTAAACACAATTAGGAATGTGTGCAAGAAAACAGCACCTTTTTTTTTTTTTCCTCTGACTGTATAAATAGTCCTAATCATGGCCCCTTTTTTAGAATTACAGAAAATATTCCACTTGAGTTAATCACGCACCTTCCTGCTCCTCTTTGCAAAGCGTTGGCTCTATGGGAGGGCGGCTGGATGAGTGTTACGTCAATAAGCAAATATTCCCATTATATGACTCAGATGCAGATCGCCCCTCCGTAGCCGTCGTTCACAGCATGTCCATCCCAGATTCTTAAAAGGTCTGCCCAGCACCGTCTCCGGAATAGCTCTGATTTTTGGCTGACGCCGAGTTCTTGGTCCTTCATTTGTAGCTTCGTTAGCAGCTGTTGAGAGTGATTTCTTGAACTATTTTGAGAAGGTGGTAAGCAGCGTGTGTTGCGGCACAGTCCTCGCACCAAAGGCTCTTTGCGTCCTGCCAAATACAGGAACAGCCGAGGGGACGGCGGCGTCTTTCTTCCATTGACGGTGGGAGTGGGCACAGGGTGTCAGCCGGTGTGAATCAGCTTGCAAAATTGAGACTTCAGGCTGCCACTGGATGGTTTATTTTTGGGTTTTTTTACACGAAAGACTGTGTCATGGAACCACAAACTGCATTTAGTCTTTCTAAAATAGATGGAAAACTTGTGTTTGCGCGAGACTGCTCGGGGTTATCTGCAGCTTCCATGAAAAAATTGAATTTGGAGTTTGGAACATAAACCAAGTATTTTTTTCCTGCCCCTTTTGTAGCCTTAAGATTTTGGCTTAAACATTAGGCATACTTATAGAAATTCAATTGTAGCCTTCATTACAGTGGAACCACTGTCATTCAGTATTAACCAAGGCTTAAGAAGTTTCTCTACCTATCAGAAAAACGAAATGGAAAAGAAGCAGCCTTAGCCTAAGTACCAGAAGCAACAGCTTGTTGGAAAAAAACCCTCTTAATCTTCCTCATATCTTCTCGCACGAGACAAGATCAGCTTTTCTCTCTGACAGTTTTCGCTCCATCCTCCTAAGACGCTTTAACTGTCCCATTCATCTGTGGCTAGAAAATGTTCTGTATGTTTGCACTGTGTTTTTTAACTGGGGGAAAAAAGTTTTTTTTTTTTTTCTTTTTTTTTTTTTTTTTTTTTTTTCCCCCCCACCCTCTGGATGTCATGGTTCTGTCTGTGGGGATCACCTCTGTTCTCTCCTCCTAGAGCCTCCACTCTGGGGGTTCTCCCCGTATGCTCAATTTCCCCAAGCTTTGTTTCTCCTGCTGCTCAAAACTTTCCCAAGCAGTAGTGCAATTCATTGAAAACAGCAACTTCATATTAATGAATTAAAGGAACAACATAACGCAGATGACTAACACAACGTGAATAACATAAGTGTGTTTCATTGCAGCAGGAGTGCTCAGTGTAGGGACAAAGCCCCGTAAAGCTGGAGTTTCTTCTTGATCTTTTGAAGATAATGGAATTACTTATTTTTGTATCTCCGCTTGAAATTCTGTGTCTGCGTTCTATAGTTAATACTTGGAATGACTGATATTAGAGTGAAAGAGCCGGTCACTTCAGAGGTCAGGTTTCTTTGTTTCCTCTTTATAAGCAGCAGTTTCTATGAATTTCTTGCGATCTGAGCACAGAGAAAGGGAGCGACTTTTTAAACAGTGACCGCACGGCATGGCAAAGTCACGCAGGGACAGGTGCAGTTAACTGGGCTGGATTTCAGGTTGTGTTTACCATCAGCATTATTTATTTGTTTATTTTACTCCTTCTAGTAGTACCTGGGTTAATTTTAGATCAGCGTTGCCGGCGGGGTCATGGCAAGGGCTTTTCTGTGTGATTCAGTTATAAACGCGGTGTGAGAAATTCAGAGTGTGGAAGTGTGTGGGGTCACTTGGGCCTCCCATTTGTCTTTTTCAAGCGTTAAGACTGGGGAAAAGGATTGTTCTCGTGAAAAGTAAAGAAAGTGAGCGTTACTCCTTGTATCCAGTGGTGGTTTATTTTTAGAATTTTCTTGTGATTTTTCCTTTTAAGAGAAATGATTTCATGTTCTAACAGAATCATTTCGGGTTTCTTTTCATTGGACTGTTTTATGTGTTCATTTTTATAAAAGCTATGGTGTGATTGAAGTTGTTCATATGTCTGGCGAAAATCACACCCTGTATCTGTGAGGGGGAGAGATTGAGGAGCTGTTAAGATTAATTATTGAAGTACAGCTACAATTAAGGATGAGTAGTCCGGAAGTCCTCCAGTAAAATAATTGCTGACATTCTTCTTTTCATTAGTAATGTGTTGTATATTCAAAAGCTAAGCCGACATCTTGATGCTGGTTTCAGCTCAGAGACTCTTCTTGCTCCCGGGAGTTTACTCTAGCCTGTCATATGCATAAACGCTCAGAGTATATTTTACAAGCGTACTAAATTGCTTTGCTTTATATGTCTGCAGATGGCAAAAGCCAAAGACAGTATAATTGTGATGCCTAAGCCTGTCTGACTTCTCTGAGCTGTGGTTTATGACTAGGAATACTGACTTTTTGCAATGATGGAGTTTTATTATAGTGAATAGGTACAGTAATGGAGGCACCTATTGCTGTCCTCAACTCCTCCTGTGTTAATCAGTTCCTATAGATTAGGAAGTTCTTCTTTCTGATTGCTTCTCTCAGCTTACGAACATGTGGAAATAAGCCAGGTAACTGTAGAAAATCTCAGCCTGATGTGGTAAGGCTTGAGGAAAGAGAAACATTTAATGGATAATTTGAGATGTTGAGTTCTCGCCTTCTCTCAGTTTACATTTTATGGGAGTTCCTATAATAGTTCATCCAAAGTTTTGTTTCTTTGCCAAATTGAAAGGCTATAGATATCTAGAGAAAAATTAGTTACACGATGCGATGCAATTAAAATCAAGGCTGTATAAAGAAATAGAAACCTGCTAAAGAAGTTTGTAGGAGCTGTTTGATATAGTTGCTGAAGTGCAAAAATTACAGCTCACCACGCAGACTTTCACAAATGTTTCTATCTTCCCTCCCCAGTAAGAACTTAATTTAGTCCCAGATCCTTGACAAATCATTCAGCTTTTTGCTGATGCGATGGACGTGATTTGGGTAATTGCGTTTAGTCAGACTCTATGCCCATTAATCCAGCTTTGAAAACAAGAATTGCCAAATTACCCCAGCTCTCCCTGTGTGACTGCCGAGCGGCGTGTTTCTGGGCCGAGTTATTTTTGGTGGCAGCCAAAGGTCAGGTACAGTAGGTGTGCATTACACGGCGCGCTTCTGGCATTTCCGTGATGACTGGTGGGGTGAGGACGCACAGGAAGAACGAACACACCGGGTCGAGCAGCCAGGCTCCAGTGGCACCATGTTGCTTCCTCTGGCTCATGCCTGGCCTCTGGCTTTTATGCCAAGCACCTGCATTTGATTTTGGTTTGTTTTGGAAGGAAAACAGATATTTTTGGTTGACTATGAAGGCAGCAGCCAGTAGTTTTGTTCTTGTTTTAATGCTAATGTCATCTGGAAGGGTGATTACGCACTTTCTGAACCCCAAGTTGGTCACCAAGCTTTCAGATTTCAGCACTTCAAGGAAAGAAATGAAGCATTTTAAAGTTTTACCTGAAATCAAACCCACAGAGTTGAGCAGAGAGATGGAGGCCCAAGATGCCATCCTGTCAAGGCTTACTGTGTAATTCTTTCTAAATAAAGTTTGGATATCCCTGAAATAAAGGACTTGTGAAGTATTAGAGCTCTGTTAGGATGAAATTGTCAATTCTGCATGTTCTAGAGGGAAATTAATGAATTGTTTTTCCATACATGGACTTAACCCAAGACACGCTTTTGAGGTGTGGATCAGGATGGTGCCGTAACATAGGAAGCACAAAGGAAAGTCGGGAAGCCATACGCTGGCAGAAGACAAAGCACATTTGCTATTTTTTATGCCATTGAAATCTCTTGGCTGTTTCTCTTGTGGTTTGCTCTTACTATTCGTTTTGTCACTTCATGGTTCTCTGTAATTTCTCAATATGCATTGTTCCTATGCTATTTTCTTTAAACGTATTTCTCAATAGATTGTGTAACATGGAGGGGAGCAGAGCATGGCTGCTGCATAGTCAAAGGGTGAAAACACAGGATGACAAATCCTAAAAATATTCCCTTCTGCTCAGTTCTTTGCAGTTCTTATACCTCAGACATCCGGTGAAGCAGAACTCAATCAGATGTTTGGGTCATGGACTTGTGATGGCTACAAGGGCCTAGTAGAAATAAGTAGAAGACAATGCAACTTATTGCTGTTGCTAATACAAGAAAGATTTGGATGTCATGTAAAAGTTTTGAGAGAGTGCTGTCCTATTTGGACCTGTTAATGAATAAAGTGTGAGACACTACCACGTTAGAAGGGAGAAAATGCGACGCGTGGTGTGGTGTTTCCCACTACCAGGGTGGACTCAGCTGATACCAATCACAGCTCATGAATAACGCAGTTCAGGCGCACTAACAGTATCTGAGATACTACTGTTAATTTCTCCAGTGACTAAAGGTCTTTAGAGTACTAATACTGATATTGCTAAGCTATAAATCTAGAAATAGCAAGTAATTTGCTTACAAGTTCGATAATATGACAAGCTCATGTTTCCTCAGCTTAGGGGTTCTGTTGCAATTCCTGTGAGAGACATGCTCTAGAATTCTGCAAGCGTTTTATACGTTTAGCCATTGCTTCCCAAGATTAAGAGAGATAATTGAGGTTTAGAGACTCCCACAAGTTTCAGTCTTTCTATCTTTTCGGACAGCTGTTGTGCAAAATATCAATAAAAGCATTTAATCTCTTACAGGTTTTCAGACAAGAAAGAAAGGCTGATGCATCTTAAAACCAAACAGAGAGAATTCCAAAAACAGTAAGTTGTAGTTACTGAATGAAAATAAACTATAAGAACTCTAAGAAAAATGAAACAGTCTCTCTAACACACTGTTGCTGGAGACAGATGTAGTCCAGATAGTCATAAAACTTTCAATCATGTTTTTTCCTCTAGTGTTTTGAAGGCCATGGAAGGGAAAGAGATAACTGATCAGCTGGTGAGTTGTTCAAAGTGTCCCATAGTTTTTAAACTCTCTGAATTCCTAGATCTCATAGTTTAAAGTTACAATTTACCTTGAGGGCATTGTGTTGCTTTCCCAAAAAGCCTGTTGTAAGCAAAACCGAAATTGGCTCTGCAAGCAGAGTGCTCCAAACCGTCAGTATCTTTCATTTTTTACTATGTATTGGTTCAATAACTTACTATACCGATTTGCTTTATACCAAGCATTTGGTTTGTTTGTGGCATTCTTCTGTGCACAAAACAGTATATGAAATATTTGTTTGTTTGTCTGATCCAATTAGGAACATCGTGCTACTTTTGCTCTAAAGCTGCTGCCTTTGTTGTTAATCATTAGTCACTGTGTTTGAAGTCGTTTGTGCCCTAGAGTTGCTGAATGTTCTTTTTCAGAGATGGAAAATAATGTCTTGCAAGATGAGGATTGAGCAGCTGAAACAGACCATTTGCAAAGAAAATGATGAAATGACAAGACGTGAGTAATGCCTGTGCTTTTGTGATGTGGAAAACTCTGTGTCTTAGAGTGAAAAATCCATTGATGTGAATTTGAGTGTTAGTTTTTAAAAAGGGTGAATTTCCAAACCATCACTTCTTGAAGGCAAATTGGTGAGTGGATTTTAGCCTTTTTATGCTTGAGTTCTAATTAGCAAACAGCAGACGTTATTCAGCTGGATGGAGATCATTTTGCAACAGCTTTAAAAGTAAATGCTTAGCAGCCTATGACTTTGGCTTTGTCCCTGGGGGCGGCTTTATTCAGTGTAGTGTTTCTGATCACTTCCCCTTGATAAAGAGGAGCAAACAGCTCTGCAGCTGTTAGGAATTTCATGTAACTGGTAAGTTTTAACCCACACCTGTCTAGAAATCCTAAAATCCTACTTGAGCAGGAGTCACTGAAATAAAGCATAGGCTGGTGTGTTGCTACCGTTCAGCAGCTTGAGTTTTGAAACTCATTAAATATTTTACACACAAGAGATTTGTAGGGTCGTTTTTCAGAAGAGAGTATGCAGCTCTCCTTATGACTTACATGCAGAGGAAATATAGGAAGCATATTCAGAAGTGTATTGATTGAATCAGGAACGTTTTTATGACTTGAAATTCAAGAGGAGCCCTACAGAGAGTGGAAGCAGAGGCATATACCTGAGAATAGTGATAAAGGAATAGCACAGGCTTGCGGTGATAACATCAAAAAGGCTGAGATGCAAAATTATTTTCAATTAATAAGGAGGATGGATAGTAACAATAAGAAATGTATAATGAGAAAAAGATGAAGGAGTAGGCAAGGCTGTTAGTTAACAGGAAAGAGAGCAAATAACAGTGCAGAGAAGTCTGATGCATTTGAAACCTTCTTTGCTTCATCTTCTCGAAAGAAAATGTGATCAGCTGCTTAGCCAGAGTAAATTTTATATCATGAGAGGACTGCAGGCTAAGGAAAGAAAATAGCCAGCTAAATGTTACTTTGATTATGTCAGCAAGGCCTGAGATTCACCTTAGGGAACTTAAGGAATGAGCTGAAGTAGTCTGCGGAACACTCCCTCCCTGGTGAGGGAGTGAGGATGTCCCAGGAAACAGAGTGAAAACAGAATCTCTTTCCGAAGGGTGGAGGAAGGGAGAACCTTAAACTGATGACACAGTCGACATGCTATAAACCTCTGGCCACTTTGCAGGTAGCTGGAAGATAAGGTAATTAAAAGTAGGTATCACTTTGTTAAGAATAGGCCGTGTCAAATCAACCTCTTGGCTGGGGGACAAGTGGTCTGGTGGAGGACGAAGCAGAAGATGCGACATACCTTGCCTTTGGGCACTACCCAAACTGTCTCACGAGCAAGCAAAGACGTTTGCTCTGGGTGTACTCGCTGTAAGGCTAGAAAGGCTGCGTTCAAAGAGCAGCGATACTTGTCAAACCAAGGAGATGAGACAGGTGGAGCTCAGCAGGCACCAGCAGGAACCAGTTCCTGGCCTGATTTTGTTCAGTATTTTCCATAATAGCTTGCATGGTAGAAGAGAAGGTGGAATGGAGGAAGCCAAAGGTGGATGACCATATGACTTCTGTGGAGAACAGGATCAATTTCAAAATCATGTGGATAAATTGACAATACCATCTGAAAAGAACAAAGTTGAGTGCACGTTATTTAGGAAAGAGAAACATACAAACCCAAAGTGGGGGACAGTGGTGAGATGTGGCAGGAAAAGATCTGGGGAATTGCAAATTAAATGAAAATTATCAATCTAATGCTGCTGCAGAAAGGTTCAGACCTCATTTTGGGTTATACTAATATAAGCATTGTATTTAAGATGGAAGCAATTATCCTGTGGTGTCCAGCTTTGGTGTTGCCTCAGTGGGAGTCTGGAGTCCAGTTTGAGCAATTTGAGAAGGATACAGATAACTGGAGAAAGTCCGGAGGAGAATATTAGGAATAAACCACGAGGAATGGCTAAGTAAATTGATGTTTGATTTGGTTTAGAGAAGAGGAAGGTGAAGAAAAGCAGTTTTTCAGTAGGTAGACAGTTATTACGAAGGAGATAATAACTAGTTGTTCTCTTTAGCCTGCGAGGAAAGGAGAGGAGGAAATCAATGTGACTTTGAGGAATTTAATGACCTTTTCTCAAAATGCAGCTCTGAAGGTGGCAAAATCTTAGGACCGACTGGGGAGTGGAGTTCCTCCAATTTTCTGCTATTCTGTGAAGCTCATTATCTGCAGCTTTTGCAACTTCTCTGATTCGCAGTGAACTTGATTAGATTTAACCCATAAACTGACCTAACTATTGCCCAACCACCCTGTTGTTAGCTCAGTTACCCCAAAACTACTCTTGCAGGTCGACCCAGAATGAACTCTTGCAATGAGTAGCCAATAGATCAGAAACTCAACTTGGTGCACTCTTGGACCACGTTAGAAAATGTGAATAGGTTGTTTCTCTTGGATATGATATAGCTAGTTTTCTGAAATAAGAACAATTTCTAGAACGTCGGGCTCCTGCTTTTGCAGTTGACTGGATACCTCAATAATTGGTGCTTCTCAAAATAAGGTTTTAAAAGATGTGTGTTTGCCTTCTGTCTGTGGAGAACAGTTCAAGGAGACGATGTTGCAAATATCTGGCATAGCTCTCTGTTGTGCCTGTGCTTGAATTTATCAGGCAATGCAGATGTGTCAGACGTAGTGGTGTCCTGAAATACTTCTGGGGACAAATTTTAATCGCCTCATAGACTGGGTCATAGAGCAGAGGTGTTGTGCCTGAAAAAGCACAGTTGTTTCTGCACCGGGACCGCTAAAGAGGAAGCGTGTGTGCGGTGTTCTCCCCTGCTTCGCAATTAATTGCTGTTGGCCCTGCAGAAGAGGGAGTTCGCTCTGTGAAAAAGTAGTCTTTCAAGTACAACATGAATCTGAAAATTGAACAGATGGACGTCTTACCCTCCTCTGTCTCTTATTCTTTATGCAAAGGGAGAGTTGGGGAATATGAATGCAAGCATTAATTGATTTTCTGTTGATGTTACAGGAATGCTTAAAGGAAACTGAATTACTAGCTGGCACATAGGGATTCTTGGTATGGCTGACAGAAAAGTCAATTTTGCTACAGTTCCTCTAACAGGAGGTCACTTATTTTATAAAGTAGAGGATTATTAGTTCATATCTGCCCAGGGAAAGTATTGTCACCTTCTTTAATGTGGAACTTTGCATCTCCCATGTATCAGATCTTCCTTCCTACCAAATGCATCGTGGATCGCAACAGATCAGTTAGATGACTAGAAATAACTCCTGATGTTCAGAGAAAGCACCATCTGTGTCTGGCGGGAGCAAGGCGCACTCCGAGGGGTACGCCAGCAGTCCTGGTCTCCCACCCTGCCAGACCAGGGACTGGCCAGAGTTCCAGCTCTGCAGGTACAAACCAGGAGTAGCAGGGTATCGTGTGCTGGCCAGGCATGGAATCTGTCTTGAGTCCTGTTCTTTGGATATAGCCTTTAATTTTTGTGCTCCCCTGTTGGGAAGACTGACAGTCTGAACGTGTTGTTTGAGGTAGCTACAGCTGCTTAGAAGTTTTCTTGATTTTAGTGGTGTATAATATAGCTCTGGTCTCATCTATGCTTTGCAATCAAAATATAGCAGTAAAACAGTGTCAGGGCTTAGAGCTTCCCTTCTGTGCAAAGGGACAGTTATCCTGCTTCTTGATTACAGGAAAGTGATGCCTTGCAGTAAGAGAACCTAACACTCACTCTTCTCAGCTATAAAAACAGAAAGTGAGTGACTAGTAGATGGGGGGGGTCTCATTTAACCTAGGGTACGTGAATAGTTTTAGACATCTATTTGGGGAGTGTGCATAAGAAATATTTTCCTATGCTTTTGAAAGACAGAGGTAGTTAATTCTTTAGCACCGTATGTTTGTGGCAGCATTACTGCAGTCAGTTCTTTTGTAGGAGAATCAGCAGGTGCTCTTGAAGGATATTTTTCCAAGCCTCAGTGTGCCTGACGTACGGAGTAAATTCAGGCAGTTGTAGCACTTTGGTACTTGAGCGCATTTCTCTTTTTGTGACTGGAAAGGGAGATAGTCAGCGTTCCCTTGCGCTAACAAGAAGTCTGCACCGTTGGGACCCAAGTGCTTTAAGAGCACGTACGTGAGCACGAAGCCCAAATATCATACGCTAACAGCAGCAGCGGTGCCAGCAATGGTGAATGAAGATGCTATCTGCACTTGGTTTTGGCTTCAAGCAACACATGCCTTTTTGGCCAGCACCATGCAAACATGTACAGTCAAGCTATTTCTGTCATGATGATTACCTCAGAAGTTTAATTAAACTGTGAAATCTTGGCTTTTCTGCTCCAAATCCAAAAATAGCTGGGTAAAAGATAGGGAAATATTAATCCCAATTTCAGACTCTTTGGAGATCTTCAGAAAAGATTAAAAAGTTGTACCACTTAGCAGCAGGAAAATGTTCATAGTGAAGCAGAGTTTTCTGTTTTAAGCTGCTATAGATTTTATTTTCTGTAACTGTTAATAATGCTTTTCTCAAGTTTACTACAAGTACCTCACAGCTCCTTTTTGGCTAACATCTGCTGCTGTTTTCACAGACGCAGAGGGACTTCTGAGAATTAAAGAGGAGAACCAGAGGCATTATCGCAGGGCTCAGCGGCATCAGGAGAAGAAAGAGAAGATGCAGAGGCATAACCGCAAGCTGGGAGACTTGGTAGAGAAAAAAACCTACGACTTGAAAACCCAGTATGAGCATCTGGCGAATCTTCGTCGGACGTATATCCTGGAGCTAACATCAGTCATATTTCCCATTGAAGAAGTAAAGACAAACATGAGGTACAGAAGGCTTATTCTTTTGGACTCATTTTGCTTAGCCTTAGACACCCAGAAGTGAGTCACGTAAGTCCGAGCTAGGCACTCTGGCTCCCTTAGCATCCGTGGGGAGAAGGAGCTGTTTCCCAAAGGCAAAGCAGCTGACCTAAAGATAGAGATCCAGGATAGAGGAATCTGGAGGTGCTAGCATCTCCCCTCTGAGAGATCGGAGGTATGTGTCCAATGTTAAACTAACTTAAAGTAGATAATTAAAAATCCCAGAACAAAGGAAAGGAGTTTGGGGAATAAGGAGTTTTGCAGGAGTGTTTCTACAAGCATTTTGTTCTCTGTGAAATCTGGCGAAGTGTCTGCCACGTGCATCTCTGCTTATAGTTTTAAAACTTCTTTAAAAACCCTCTCTTCCTCTTTGGGTGCTACAGAGATCCTGCAGATGTGTCGTCTGAGAGTGACAATGCTATGACCTCTAGCACTGTGAGCAAGCTCGCGGAAGCCAGGAGAACCACGTATCTCTCTGGGAGATGGGTGTGTGATGATCATAACGGGGACACCAGCATCAGTATCACAGGGCCTTGGATAACCCTTCCTAATAATGGAGACTATTCAGCATATTACAACTGGGTGGAAGAGAAGAAGACTACGCAAGGACCAGGTAAGGAGCGAGCTCTGATTAGGCATCTGGGATACTCCAGAAGCCATAGAACTTGCAGCCTGGGATGCTGACGGAGGGCACTGAGGAGCAGTAGCCCGGTGTGTGTGTTCTCACCCAGGCAAACCTGAGTCAGTCACAAATAAATACCAGGGTAGGGGTTAGTCCACTGAAATCCTCTTTTGCGGGAAATGCTCACTGGGACCACAGCGCAATGTAATAGAGAGAGAAAGTTAATTATTCACAGTTTTGACATGGTTCGCATGCCGTCGTTTTAACAGGAATTCCAAGAATTACTATTTTCTACGAACTTCTGACAGATTTCACTGTAAATGATTGCTGGATTCAGGCAGTTCTCAATACTGACAAGTGACATTTTCCAGAGTAGACTTCAGTAACACATTAACACACCCACTGAGGCTTCATTTAAAATGAGACTTTCGTGATGTTTTTATTTCTTTTAGATATGGAACATAATAACCCTGCTTATACCATCAGTGCTGCATTGTGCTATGCAACTCAGCTTGTTAACACTTTGTCTCTCATACTTGACGTAAATCTTCCCAAGAAGCTCTGCAACAGGCAAGTAAATGCATGTCTCTAAGGAGGTGAATCAGTGACCAGTTTTGACTGATCTTAATTTGATTTTTGTGAACGAAGTCATTACTTGGAACAGCTTTTATGGTAATGGCTGATGGCTCATGGATTTTTGTGCTGTTTAACTTTGGGTGGAGGGCTAGTTGGATTTTAGTTAATAGTTCCTCCCTCCTTTTTTACCTCCTGAGAGTGTAGACTAACCATCATAGTTGAAAATAACAGCTTCCTAATTGTCATATTCAGCATCCTCAAATTAGAAACGAAATATGACAGTCCACGAATAGCATTTTTCATTTTATGAGAACCTACTGTGCTTTACAAAATCCCATCCCAATTCAGCAACTCTTTGTCATCTTGAATAGCTCCACTACATGAAGCACCTTATAATAAGGCACAACAGCAATTTAATTCTCTTTGGGATAAAACACCGATGGGGAATGTACCTGGCTGCCAGATGTCTGGGAGTGTATTCTGTAAGCCCCATTTGTGATGAAAAGCACTGTTAGATTTTTAATGTCTGTGTGGAGCAGATGGGATCTATGCAGAAGTGGTACTAAGGGAGCTGTAGACCTGGTCAGTCTTCCAGGGGTCTCAGTCATGCTGCTGAGATTCTTTAATCACTTAAAATAGTGGTTGCCGAAGGGAGGGCACAGAAGTTGTGTAGGGTCTCTGCAGTTTTTTATACTATTTGGGTGCTTGGTCCTTGCAGTAGGAAAAGGTTGAGAACGGGAAACGATGCAAGATTTAAAAGGAGAGCTGAAATAGGTTGGCTGCAGTGGATCTTTGGGTTCCATACAGTCTACATCACCTCTTCTGTTGAAACCAGTGGGACTAGGGCAAGCACTACTTGTTGATGAAATGCTTACAGTCTTGCTGGGTGAAAAATTATCTCCTGAGCACTCTAAAACTGGCTGTACAGTTTAAACAACTGCTCACCCTGAGCTCGCTTACTCCGGGATTTGTTAGGAAGCCAGGGCACAGAACGCTGATGCCTCCAGTAGGTGTATTTCCACAGCATTTTCCTTTCTGTGTGTATATATGTGTATGTGTTGTGTTTCAACAGTGAGTTCTGTGGAGAGAATCTCAGCAGACGCAGGTTCACGCGGGCAGTGAAGAAGCTGAATGCTAATATCCTTCACCTTTGCTTCTCTCAGGTAGGGGGAATGCACATTCGGCTACTTTGAGTAGCTTTTAAAATAACTGTGCCTGCAGGTTTCCTCCAGTAACTGATCATGTCTTTTTCTTACCTTCCCCATGGTAGCATGTAAATCTGTTGCACCCACTGCATACGCTCAGGAACCTTATGTACCTGGTCAGCCCAGACACTGAGAACTTGGGCAGGTAAGAAAAGCAGAATCTCAACTCCCCTGTGATTGAATCCCCTTTGAAGTTACGCATTTGCCTTGTTACTTATGAGGGAAATTCTTCTCTTCTGCTGTACCTGTTGATCAGTCCTCAGCACATCAGAAATCAGGGTAGTTACAAGGAGGACATGAGAGAGGACAGAAGAAGCAGGTCCTGAGTAAGAAATATGATTTCGGAGGTGTGTGTACGCTGTGCTTCTGTGTACGGCGGGCTGAGCTGGGGCCTTTGTAGCTAGTTACGGACTTGTTTCCCCTGTGCCCAGAAGCAGGAACTCCTTCCCTCCAGGGGACAGCAGCACATATGCCTGGCAGTCTCGCTGTGCTCCAAATATGACCCTACCCACATCTGCAGTATGTAAATACCAAAGAGCATCCGGCAATATAAACCCTAAAACAAATGCTAGGTAAAGGTTTTCCAAAAAATGCTTCCAGTCAATGAACACCCTAGACCAGTCAACACTTCAAATAATATTAATTTCTAATTAAATTAAGATTAAAGACAACTTTTCTGTTAACTTAGTACGTGATGGAAAGGAGATCAGTTCCTGTGGGCTGCACACACCAGGTTTAATAATCTCCCTTTTTTGTTTGTTTTTTTAACAACTTAAATACAAGAAAGCCAACAACATTGATTTGGGATAATCCAATCGCAAGTCACTTGTGCCTGAGACAGTCTGCAAATATTTGTTTAATCTGACTACTGCTTTATTCCCCCTTATTTTCCCCTCTCAAAAAACGTGTAGACGTGGCACTTTGGGACATGGTTTAGTAGACATGGTGGTGTTGGGTTGACGGTTGGACTTGATGATCTTAGAGGTCTTTTCCAACCTTAAAGATTCTATGATTCTATCAAACACAGTAATGTCCTGAAATGTATTTTTCCACTTTGTTCTCGTGTACAGACCTAGTTGTATTTAAAAACCTGCAGTGCCACTAAGAGGAACTGAATGTGTGCTGCTAACCACTTACCTTATGTTCTTTGGGTATATCCTATATTCTTTGGGTATATCCTACTGATTCAGCCCAAAGATACAGGGGGGCCAAATCTTCGTAACATAGCTCAGTTTGGAAAAAATTATGTGCTTGCTGCTGCTTGTCTGAAAACAAGGAGCGTGCAGGAAACGCCCAGAGAATGAAGAACTGTGTCCTGGAAAGCAGCTGCTGTAAAGGATCCAGGTGTCACAGTGAGCATCTCTTCCCTGTGCAGATGTTTCGGAGCTCCACACGCATCAGTCAGGTCCACGTAGTAAAAGAAGAGGTGACAGGAAAGAGTCAGAGAAAATACCTACAGTGAGGGGCATGGTTTAGTCTGTATAAAACTGTCTTAGCTTGCTAGAGACGAGGTTGAGAGATGACTTCATTCCCACACCTTCATGGGGAGAAAATACAGGCTATTGAATGGCTTCACAAACACTTTTGGAAGCAAAGAGCCTGAGCTAGGCTGAAATGAGGAGCATGCGCTTAACATGGAGATTAATTACCCGCAAGAATGAAGGTGGGGATTCTCTGTTTCCCCATGTTGTCCTGTCAAGGCTGGATGAGTTTCTGGAATGGATGCTTTCATCGACCGAAGTTCCTGGGCTCAGGACAGGGGGAATGGGTGGAACGTAATGGCCTTTGTTACAGAAGAGGTCACTCGAGATGATCTCATGGTCCCTTCTGGCCTTAAACCTGATGACTGTCGTCTTATGTTGCCTTGTTAAGCAAAATGCTTTGCCAGAAGGCAGCACTCCCATTCTTTCCGGATTATGAAAGAGGAGTTTTTACCTTTTAATTTCTCGGCTGTCTGCAGAGTTTGCAGCAATCAGCTCTCTTTATTTCCCTTTAGATATTTAAGCCTATATTACCCGATAGTCTCCTTTATAAGCTACTGTTTTCAGATACATATAACTTTACCAAGCTTTAATTGTCTGGATTAAAATTTTCCATGCTAAATTGCTGCTTCAGGCTCCTTCTCCCAGTAAGGCTGGAGAAGCACTCTTACCCGTGTTAAATTCTTGCTCCTGTTTCACCGAGCAGCTTTGTGCTTTGGAATGAACTTCGGCAGGGACGCTGCTTGCTGTGGGGAACCCACCTTTCACCAGCTCTGTGAAAACCTGATGCTCTCTGGCCTCTGAAACTGCCTGCTTCGGCTCAGTAAAGATGTTTCAGATTTTGGCCGCCCGTTCTCCAGCGCAAAGCGGTGGGATGGGGAGGGATGCAGTTGCTTCTCCCACCAGGCAGTGGCAGCAGGGAACTCAGAGTCAGAGCGCAGGTGGGTTTGGTGGGGACCTCTGGATATCCAACCCATCGCCCCACTCAAAGCAGAGCCAGCTAGAGCAAGTTACGCAGGACCGTGGCCGGTGGGGTTTTGAGTATCTCCAGTGGTGGAGACTCCACAGCCTCTCTGGGCAACCTGTTGCAGCATTTGAGCAGCCTCGTAGTAAAAAACAATCTTGAGATGTTGCTCTGGGAAGTCTCCGCTAGTGAGTTGTGCCAACACAGTTCTCTAGGTTGTAAACTACATCCTTCCCCTCGCTGACAGAGCTGCAGCCACCTTGGCCTGGCCAGAGCTAGCATTAAAAATAAAAGCTGTTCTACGTCAAGCTGAGATTTCCACCAGAGGAGCTGTGAGTTTTATTATCAGTAGCTTTTTCTTTGGTGTGTATGTGTTTCACTGTCCACTGCCAAAGCAGAACAGCTCTCCCACCGTTCCTGCTCCGTGGATTGGAACTCAGCTATCGCTTCCTTGGCCAACCGTTTTCCTTTCGCCATTGTCATAATACGGTTATCTCTGTAGCCAGCGAGTTTCTCTCTGCCAGCTGATAAACACAGAGGTGTTTTAATTTCTCTGCTGGACGTGTGACAGAGCAGGCAGTGCTTTGGCGTGCCTGGGACTCGCACCAGCGAAGTGACGGTCCTTCTGCACGGTACTAAACGGGCTGACGGCGTTGTGTCCGTGTTTGCAGGTCTGGGCCTTTCGAAATCAGTGCTGATCTCGAAGACTCCATGGAGTTTGTGGATCCCAACGCCACCGGCGAAACAGATGAGAGCGGAGACGAGCACGTCAGCGATGAAGAGACGGACCTGGGGACAGACTGGGAGAATCTGCCGAGCCCCAGGTTCTGCGATATCCCTTCTCAGCAGGTGGAGATGCTGCAGAGCCAGAGCACGCAGGTATCTCAGCCCATCGCCAGCAGCAGCGCTGGTGGGATGATCTCGTCCGCTGCTGCCTCGGTGACCTCGTGGTTGAAGGCGTACACTGGACATCGCTAATGAGCATGGGAAAAGGATCATAGGATTTGTGGAAGGAATCCCTCCCCGACAATGCTGTAGTAAACCTTACCTATTGAGTTAAGTAGTGCCTGGAACAAAGAAAAGGTCAGACTTTTCATTTTGTAAACCAGAAAAACCTTTTTATTTACCCAAGATGACTGTGATGGTACCGTTTTGTAAATTAGCTAGCTACGTACTTCTGACGGATTCTGTGACGGCACTTTGTGTCTTGGTTCTGTCTGCATTGTTGAGTATCGAAGAGAAAGGACCCGGCAGCCTCCAGCTCTACGTTCTAAAGAAGAAACAGATTTTGGAGTATTTGGATCGGGATGAGGACAGAGAGAAGGCTGCTGCTCAGTGTGCAGTCTGGACAGTGGTGCAAATGCAGTTCACATTTTCTTAACTCCTTACAGGGTTTTTGTTTGTGTGTGTTTTAAATCTGTCTTGCATAATGCAAAAATGCGTATTTCTAAATTTTTTTCATTCAGGACATGAAAATTATGCATTTTTAACATGTTTTCTAATCTCTGTTGCCATATTTTTAATACAAAGAATCAGCATGGACAGGAATTCACACAGCAAATTGCTCTTCTTTTTAAATGTGGTTGTGAATCTTTACCCAGTTTTGCCATAGAAAACTGGCTTGTTTCATGCTGTTTCCACCGGTAGGTAGTCTCAAAGGTTCGTGTTGTGCTGTCCAAAGCACACAGGCTCTTTACTCTTAATATCATACACCAAAGAAACACTGGACGTTCTCTTAGCTAGACCCACGTTTGATGCCGATACAGGATTGCGTTGTTGCAATAATATTCATCAGTTCCGCCACCACGTTGCCACTTTTTAATATTAAAAAAAACTCATTTTGAGCTAGCTGAATGAAGTCACACGTTCTCCACACTACATGTGTTTTAAACCCTATTCTATTTTGGTTTAGAGTGGGTTTTGTTTTCTTTTCCTCTTTACTGAATGCCAAGAAGTTGATTTTATTTCACTGCAGAAATGCTCACAGCGCACCTGGCTCGCACGTAAAACTACCGGAGGTGCGATACCGACGGATGCGTTCGTTAACAAAGTGCTCCTCCGCTTCCTCTGCCTTGTGGTATGTATTACTTAAAGATGGGTTTGCTCAGCGAGGCTTCCAACGTACGGTTTACATTTTATATAGCGGGGACATCGTACTTCTCCACGGGGTAAGCTAATGTCAAAGCATCCTCCCGGCTCTCCGGGAGGGAGGATTTCTGCCACTGTAGCTTCCCCGTGGTGGGGACGCGGCGAGGCTGCGGGGAGGGATGCGCTGGCCACGTCCTCCTGCGTGTTTGAAGTCCCAGCTCCAGGGCTGGCTTACCCGGCCGCCTCGCAGAGCCCGTTGCGGTGGTTTTGGTGTTCCTCTCCAGGCCGGCCAGCGCTGCCTCCAGCCTCTACCGAGGAGCGGATGGAAAAGCGGTTTTGGTACTGATGTTCACGTACCCCAGCGAGCTCCGTGCCCGGCGTACTGCCCGAGTATCGTGTCTCCCAACCCTCTGCCCCTCTCATATGGCAGCTCTTTCTCTCTGGCCCTGGGGATGTTGTCAGTAGTTTCTTCTTAATTTTTCTTTTTTTTTTTGAACCAAAGACCCTTAACTCCGCACTAACACAACGCACGTTGGTAGATGAAGACACCCTTGTTCCTATCGTTCTTTTGGTTTAAATCCAATAGTTGGGTTTGTTTTAAGAGAACAGCCAAGACTCTCTTGACTACTGCAGTCCCACCAGGGCCAGTGCCCCCAGCCCCCCAGCAGCCCGCGCTGCCGGGGCCGGGAGGGTTTGGTCGCTCTTCGGTTCACAGCACTTTACTCACCTCCAGCTATCGGATCCTTTGCAGTTCTGAGCAACCAGCACATACCAGTACTGTATACTGGGCTCCTTGCATCGCTCAGCCCCTTCTGCTTCCCTGTTTATTTTGCACTGGACTCTGCCACATAAATTTTTTGTTTTGTTTTGAATACGCATTTCAGTCACTCTTTCATTGCTGCCTTTGTGCTACTTGGAACCCCTAAAGGTCAGACCACGATTCTGCTTTACGCACTGTCCGTTACTTTGGGGGGAAAAAACCCAACACAAAAACCTTTTTAAGCCATATACTTCGTAATCATCATGTTTTCCAAATAATTTATTTGCAATCATGTCGTACTCTGAAAGTGCACGACAGCCCCGTGAGGGTGTTAAAATGCATTGGGACAACAGGTCTTGTCACGAAACGTTTTTGTAACGGAATACAGATTGTGGTTGGTTTGTCTTTAAAGTGTTTTGCACATGTGTAGCTAAGGAAGAATTGTGTGTGTCCAAACCTTGAGTGCAATCGCCAGGATTAGTTTTCCAGGTTGTTTTTGGGGGAGGGCAGGAATATCCGTAATTAGTGATAATTGAAGACAGTGAACTGAGTGTTTACAAACCACTTTGCGTAGCACGAGTGCGGGAATTTCAGTTCAGGCCGTGACTTTTGTCCGTGACAAGTGATCTGGCGTGACCCATCTGAGGTGCCAAGGAAAAGCCCGGCCCTCTGCGCGAAGTCCGGGGCCTTTGGAGGGTCTCAGGTGGGACACCCGAGGGATGCTTGTCACCCGCAAAAACTCGGGGCCTCTCTCTGCAACTTCCAAACTAGATGTAACTAAACACAAATGGTTTGGGTTTGTTTTTGGTTTTTTTTCTAAATTTTATTGTATTATTGCAATAAATCTTTTAAAAAAAAAATTACTGTGAAGTTTTATATTTATAATTGTTACTTCTGTGTGGTTTGTTTTTAACCTTGCTGGGGAAGTACACAAGAATTTCCAGCCTTCAAAGCATCACAGGGACCAGACCTGTTACAGTGCAATCGTACAGCGGTAGAATAAGCAATACCCATTCTAAAAAAATACTCTTAGATAAAATAACTGCATCTCCATTGGAGCAGGTGGAGGAGTCCTGCAAAACACAGACGCACGCACACATCCCCGTACGTACACGTAAACCGATAAATCGCCCGTGTAAGCCTGGCTTTGAATTGCTCCTCGGCTGGGTGACGCTTGTTTCTGCAGGTGTGAGAGAAGACGCTCCTCTTCACGAGGTCACGGCGGAAGGACGCAAGCGTGTGTCTGTTTAAGGAGGTAATTATTAAAGTGAACCGTTGTGTGGCCGAGCGACGCGGATGGAAAAGGTCAGCAAGACAGAGGCAGGCTCTGCCCACGGGACCTGGTGGCCTGGCAGGCTGTGGTTTATTGGAGGGGAAACAAGCCATCCCGCTTCTGCACGCTCAGGAGCAGCAGCAGCAGCCTGGGGCTCCCGCACGCGGAGCCAGGGCAGTTCGCTGCCTCCCTCGCAGCACAGTCACGGCCGTGCAGGAAAGCAGCCTGTGCCCAAAGCCAAGCCTGGCTCTGAGCTCAGCTTGTGCCTACGCATTGCTGAGGTCACTTCTCCTTCAGCAGTGCCATCAGCAGGAGGTTTGTCCTCTTGCCACCGCTGGTTCCCGGCAGGAGAGTGTAGCACCCTGAGCCCCGTCTGTACCGCCCGGACCAGCCTCCCTGGCTGGGGAGGAGAAACAGCCCAGGGTGAACCTTCAGCACCGTTCCCAGCCTGCAAGAAGTGGGACTCCAGACAGAGGGCGGACGCATCCGTGAAATGCCAGTCCTGGGGCTGGCACAGGGAAGTTGAACCCCAACAAGGCGTCACGGAGCCCCGTTACAGGGGCCAGAGACACGGCAAATGGGAAAAGCTGCTGTAGAAACAGGCAGGATGGAGCAAGAGCCCAGCCACCAGCATGGCCATGGGTGGCTTTTCCAGTAGCGCCCATGCCAGGAGACCCCAGAGCTTGATGAAAACTGGAAGCTTACGAACAACGGAAATATTGCAATTTCTTTGCAGGCGTATCTGGAAATTCAGTCCGGATACTCCAACCACTCCCAGGCAGGGAAGTCAAGCACACAGTCCTCAGCTCTTCTGAATGCTGAATTTTCTAAATGCAACACTAGGCTATTTTTTTTTTAATTTTTTTTTTTTTTTTAATTGCCTCTTTGAAGGGGGAAAAAAAAAAAAGGTTCATCAGCCATTGGGTTCTCCCTGACCTGGTCCTTAAGGAAACAGAAATCTGCACTTCACTACTTTATTCGGGGGGGGGGGAGAAGCTTGCAGGCAGCTCAGCACGGCTACGTTAGAACAACCCCGTTCTGGATGCAAAACTTCATTCCATAAAACAATTTTTAACAGCAATGCTTCACAACAGGGATAATAAATGATGTATAAAACAGCCCGCGTTCCTTGGCCAGCTTGGGGGAGGGAGGGGAGAGTAAAGAGCAAATTATCCGCCGTATTTCACGTCTCCAAGGAACAAACCAGCCCAGTGCTATTATTTCAGCCTCATTTTTCCCCTCTGGCAGCCTTGTTCAACGAAGGTGACCAGAATCTCAGCCCGTTCCAAAAAAAATGACCTCACAGGCCCCTTATCTAATTACAAAATATTTTCCTCTGCCGCTTCTATTTCAGCCTCGCAGGGACTTTCCTTGCCGCTGTCAGCCTGGCATGGGTTATCTCAAGTTTTCCAGTCTTGGGTGAGGGGGCAGGAAAGCATTTTCGCCCCCCCGCCTTCCTTGACTGAAACGAAGCTGAAGACCTTTGATGCTGATGGCTTTCCTTCCAGAAAGTTGTTTTGCTGCTCGTCCCCAGCACAGCGGATTAAAGCTTGGGTGAAGCCTGCGCCCCGTTAGAGAATGAAGTCACAAATTAACGAGGGATCCTGCTTTTCCTCTCCCTCTTCACAGCCGATTACAAGGCAGCCGCACCCTCCTTTTTTAGCTTTCCACTGTCATTCCTCCTGCTTGGCCTAACGCCTGCTGCACTGCAGCGATGGCCGAGCAGCACCCGGTGCTGCCCAGGGTGACGGACAAAGCAGGGACTGGGGCAGGGGGAAAGAAATGGCATCCTTTTAAATCTACCGTGAACATCCTGAGCTTACCAACCCCCCATTTCAGGCTGTAAGGGGTCAGGTT